TGTTGAGCTGGAGTCTAAAATTAATCTCCTCTTTTTCAGCTCCAAATCAGCTGAAAGGCAGAAATGAGAAAATCTTGAATTCCTGTAGTGATAGCAGCTTCTGTCTTCATCCCAAGAACATATGGGGAGTGAATCGTAATTGAACATACTTTTATTTTCCAGCATTGATTTAATGGTTGGGTACCTTGGGTGGGAGAGGAGTGAGGGATTTGGAGTTGGATGATTCAGTGTAACGCATTGAGCTACAACAGGATTTGTCTCTTCTTAACTGTGCAAAGACATGCTCTTTGGTTGCATCCCCTACCCACGTGCTGCTCCCACCTCGTAGGTTCCTTGACCGTGAGCACGTAAAGCCGAGAGCTAACGTGGGTTTTTTTTACATTTTTCAAACTCAATGAGTAGATTCTGTCTTTCATTTATTAAAGTGAATGATATCTTTGTGACTAGGTCGTTGTGGTCATTATCTTTTGTTCAACACAGTGCTAGTATTCTTGTTCTCCCCCTCTTGCTCTCAAAACCTCAGCTGTTTCTGTAAGCTTACTTGACTGTGTGAAAACCAGTGGAGGCATTCTGCAAATTCTCAGCTGTTAGACTGCATATGGTTTTTCCAGAATGGGATATAGGTGTCTGGATTCACAGGCTGCCGATTTAATAGCAGGGGACAGGAGGAGTTGCAAGAGGCCCCTGCTCAGCATCCCTCTCTCCCTTTCCTCCCCTTCTATTTGTACGTTATATACAGGAGGTCATATCAAAAACCTGCACCTGGCACAAAAGTGATTCTGCTTTTGGAGAGGTAACTTGTGCTTACACTTAGCTCAGCAGTAAGTGCTCTTTATTCAGTGTAGAAACACTTTCTGGAGACTTTCAAGGCACTGCCATTCTTAAACATACGAATAGAGAGCAAGTAGCATCTCTTACAGTCAGATTGACCTTTGGGTAGAATCAAGCTTATGAAACTTAGCAAATGCCATGTATGTTTATATTATTACAAGTGAAATTTTCTGATATCTTGTAATTGTACTGGGGAAAAAAATATATGAAGTTTCTGCTCTATTTCAGTCTAAAGATAAATCATGCAACAAAGAGCATGCTTGGTTATAGTGTGGGACAAGATCTATACAGAAATAATTATCTTTTAATACAGTACTTTTTAACAGTACTGTAGAAACATAGTATTTACTCAGCAACTTAGGTAGTCAACTTTTATAAAACGTGTATGGGCTTATTACAGTTTTATTTTGAAGTACAAAAATTTCCATGCTTTACTTGTTCAGTTTAAAATTTTAAATATTGAGTCCTAAGTTTGTCACTAGGCAACTGTTACTGTCCTGTAAACTTGCTTTAGTCCTCTTCAGTGGGAATTTTGTAACTGGTATTCTAAAAATGCTCTTGTAGAAGTTTAACTCAAACCGGCATGCCCGTTTACCTGTGATAACTTACATCATAACTGTAAGATCTTCATTGTCACATTTATCGTAATCAGTAATTCATCGCGAGGATATTTTCAAGAAGAGTAGGTGAATTTAGCTCACAAAGTTCTCATGAAGAGTCCTCGTGGCGAGCCTTGCAGTAGGAGTTGGTCCTGACGGGCAGTCTCTTCAGTGCCAGTCACTGCGTAGCAGGAGTTTGGTGCGGGAGGTTTTCTGTATGTAATGTTAGGCGGGGCTGGAGCACAGAGAGGGGGCTGTGCCTGGGGCTGTGCCTGGGGCTGTGGGGTGTTGGTGACACCCGGCTTTCCCCCCTGGCTGGGGAGGTGGCAGGCACAGCGCCGGGAAACAAGCTGAGCCCTTGTCGCAGCTCCCTTCCTCAGGGTGTGCATTTCCTCTTCTATAAGACATGCGCTCAATATTTTAAGCATTTATAAGATCTTTGGATGAAATATATGCAAAGATAGATTATTTTCATCAAGGATAAAGGAGGAAAATTGGCATTTTAGAATCACGTGCTTTCATCTGCCACGTGAATGCCCAGCTGTGCTGTTTTCTCCATCCTCATTTATTCTTTCTGTATTTCTGCCTGCTCCTGTCTCGTTGTAACCTGGGTGCTGTTCTTGAGGAGTGTTTTAAATTTAACGAAGCTTTGGATCTGATAGGAAGTATTTACATACATTTGCAGGCAGACGATCAGCTCTATGTACTGTGAGGTTTTCACTGAGAAAAATGCCTTCTCTCAGCATTGCTGTCTCGCTCTAACACAATATACTGTTGGTAGTACAAATAGCCTACTACGTGATTCTGATTCTTCAGGCAGGTCACACAAGTCTAGTTGTGATCTTATTTTTGGATAAACTGCCCCGTAATCTATACAAATCCTTCTCCCGTCATTTCCAGCCTGAACAAGAAATACACAAAAGCTCCTAGTCAGGCCTCTTCAGCAACTGTTACTGTGAATAAATAGTAGAAGACACTGAGAAGTCAAGTTACCCGTTACCTTTTTAGGAGATGACCTGGCACCGTTAAAAGACAGTTGAGCTGTGAATGGCGATGTGGATGTCAAGAAACTATCGGCATTTGTCCAACCCTGTTTGTTACATTTCAGGACTGATCATTTGAGACTTCCTTACGTGATGTCAGTTGTCACGATCTGTGTTTAAATTGCAAGAAATTAATTTCCGAAGCAGGCCCTGATGAGCCAGGAGACTGGAGTAACAGGAGGTGAAAACAGGAAGCCATTCAGGGTTTGTTCTAGGCTGACTACAAGGAGGCTTCTCCTACGACTTTGTTTGCGAGTAGAGGGCTGGGAAGGGGGGGCAAGGTAGTGACAGTGCTACAGTCCCTTTCCTTAATAAAAGGTGGGAACATAAACACAGTAAGATTTACCTTTGCAAGAGTTTTGTGCTGGTTTTGACCCCAGAAGTTTCAAAAAAGATGACAAAGTGTGAGTAGCTCCACACCAGCAGGAAGTGTCCTTAATAAATCAAATAGTTCTGAGACATAGATAAATAGGTTTAGGGAAGGTAACCATGGATCATAACAAATATAGAACCATTTTTCACAGCGTCTCTAGGCAATTAGGGGGATATTTTGTCAATGGTGATAGGAGGAGGGGAAAGGGCAGAATCCTCCTTAAAACTGTAACATACTGTGGTGCAGAGCTCCAGGAGGAACTAACAGTGTTTTCTGTGTGGGTTTTATTACTTGGCAGGATCCACTATGACTAAATCTCAAAAGACTGGTTTTTTTTAAAAAAGTTGCATTTATTTATATATAATGCAGTTTGTTAGCCAAAAAACCAACCCCACCTTATCAAACCATGTATGGTCTTTATTTGTAAAATGTTTCTGACTGCTTGCTGAACATTACTGGAAAACTGTGTAGCTGTGAAGGCAGTCACTTGTCCGAGCTCGGAGTTCCCATGCTCATCACAACAAGCATGTGCAGAAAAGACCTGACCCAGACTCCACCAGTGATCCTCTTCAGTCACAGCAACATCTGCACTTTATTTTCTTCCTTTATATAATTACATCTGTTGATGTTTTCTTAGTATTTAGCATGCAGTGAGGAGTATTCTTCTGAATTATGAAATAAATATGTTCTTTTAAGAGGAAGAAAGCCAAGTGGCTAATGCAACAACCTAACTTTTAACTTATTTACCATTTCTAGTTAACAAAACACTTGCTTAAAGCGAAGTGAAAGCACCTCAAAGGATCTCTTCTTTCACTGGGAATTTATTCAAATTATTTATTAAATTAAAAAAAAAAATAAATCGCACTTTTACATTTGGGTTGGACAAAAATCAGCACCAGATTATTTTTTGCTTAAGTTGTTAAATTTGAAAACAAACGATGAACAAACCAAAATAAATAAGTGACTCTATTTGATGAAATTGAAATGTAATGGGAGCCAGGCTTGTATGCAGGGAGCTCCAGATTCAGCCCGTGCTCGCTCTGAAGCTGTAATCGCTGTCTGGCTGCGTGCGCGGGACACACGGGAGCGTGTCTGGCGGGTGAGATAATGGGCTTGGATTTGCAACGCAGCACAGCTCGGCTTTGCAGCCTGAGCTCTGCCCTCCGCTCAGGCCCACCGCCTCTCCCGGCCCGAGCCTGGGCTTGAAGTGATGGCACAGCCTGTGGGGGGCTTGGGGCCTTTGGGCCGGGGGGCTGTGTTGTAGGCGGAGGGTTGGAACAGTGATGTTGTCCAGCTATAAGACTGTTTCTAATCAGTTTTCAGTAATCAGTAGGAAAATGTAAGCATTATCTATGCTTGGGGTTTAAGTGTTTTGCTTTCTGGAAATCCTCTGCTTGCTTGTCTGTGAAAACAGAGCTGCCAACTAACATTTGGGCAGGAATTCTCTGTAATCATTTCTGAAGCAACTCTTCTGAGGGTGCTCAGACTGAGATTTAAGCTCCTAAAATGTGATTGTCCTGAATGTGAGAATGTGGAGCGCTGGGTGAAATGGCGTAGGAGAGGCCGAGTTCCCCAGCGCTGGTGTAGCAGGACAAGCGTGCTGCCTGCTGTCGAGAAGCCCTGCTTCACGGCAGTACCCAGCTAGGCTGTGAGATTCAGGAGACGCTCTCGCTTGAGAGTAACTAATACTGTAATAAGACTACTGGCTTATCATAGATTTGTATAACAAGCCTAGCAATTGTACACGTTTCCTCTTTAAAACAAAAAAAGCCTCCACCAAGACCACTTACTTCCTTTCCCTTCCTTCTTATGTAGCTGCAATCCTGTTTACTGCGAGCTCTTTTGAAACACTAAATGTGAGTTAGAGATGTACAAGAAGATGCTCAAAAGTGTTTGGCTTTTTGCTGTTTCTTCTGTTACATCTTTCTATCAAATGTTTTTATGTCTGCACGGAGCACAGTTTATCCTCTTGTATAAATTGACTGAACGCCACATACAAACAAAATTTAATTGTTTATTGATTTAAATAGATGACTTGAATACGCTCTCAGTAGCCTAAGTCCAGTTGAACGTTGAGTTGTACTAATAGAGTAAGTTAAACTGTGTGCAAGTCAATACAAAACCCTGTGTAAGACTCCTCCTTTTCTCTGCTAGTGTTTAATTATCGGAGGTGGCCCATGTGGCTTGCGGACTGCCATAGAACTTGCCTTCCTGGGAGCCAAAGTTGTCATCGTGGAGAAGCGGGACGCTTTTTCAAGGAACAATGTATTGCATCTCTGGCCGTTTACAATCCATGACCTTCGGGGTCTGGGAGCAAAGAAATTTTATGGAAAATTCTGTGCAGGATCTATTGATCACATCAGTAAGTATCTGAGGGCATGGACACTGTTCAGATAAGAGGTATACTGAAGTCAGAAGATCAAAGGAAACTTTTCTGGCTTGGCAGAAAGCTCATCTGCCTTAAACACGTGCAAGGTCATGCATGCACACGGAGGGAAAAAATGGTCTCACTTAAACGAAATGGCAGTTGAACAGATGCCAGTCTTATGGAGCAGCTTTTTTTGTTAGTCTGGATTTGTTAAGCAGTAGGTTTTTGTTACGATACGAAGTATGAAGAATACTGATACTCATTCTAGTATGTTGAGGGTAGACACAACCCTTAATGAGAAAATATACAAAAGTGATAATACTTATTTTCGTATTTTATCTTTATATAACAATATATTCATATTTTATATAACAGTACATGCAGGGAAATATGCTGTAAAATTTTCTGTCCTAAAATGGTCAACATACTGTTTAGCAGATCCTTTAAATATCATTAGGAAGGACAGCTCTCAAAAAAATATCCTAAGAAACAGACTGAAATAAATGTTATTACTTACGAGATTGTGCTGCAAGAGGAAAAAGAGATGGAAGAGAACAACATGCTGTGGTGGCTGCTACATTTGCATTCATCACAGTATGGAAATAGTAATGCTGCACGCTTGTGCGGACAGTGAGTATCTGTCGGGTGGCATACTGGTAGCAGCTGTGACTACTTACACATTCAATTGATCTTTGTTACTTGCTGTCTACAGGTATTCGACAACTTCAACTCATCCTCTTCAAAGTTGCACTCATACTAGGAGTTGAAATCCATGTGAATCTAGAATTCGTTAAAGTCCTGGAACCTCCCGAAGATCAAGAAAACCAAAGTATTTTTTTATCATAATCTAGTTCTGTTCACAGTAACTTCTTTTCATGTCAGGCTTTATGTGGAATCATTCAAGGTAGCTGAATTCTATTTAAAAAATAGGGGCTTTTTGCCCGTATTCAGCTAGGTTTGCTGTATGCAGTCGTACGCATGATAAGTGTCACTGTGATAGAGCACTGATAATTAAGATACAACCCAGTCTGAGAAGTTGAGGGTTTGCACTGTGCCTTCTGGCCTGAGTTTGAGGTTTTGTAGGGAGTCTGGTGTGGCTCTTTGGTATCTTCTTGCAAAAACAATTTTTGATTGATAATATAAATATTGAGGATGGATTAAACTCCCTGGGCCTCATTTTGCTTTCACATTTGATACAGCTCCCACTGGCACACAGAGTCTTATCAGCCATCTTATGCAAGGTTTTTAAATAAAAGAGACAGATTTCTCTCTTTTTTTTTCCTATTTTTTAAAAAAGATTAGTATTTAGGGTATAGTAGCAATAGGATATTTTAAAATTTTACTTTAATTAAAATACTGTGCTATCTCTCTTTAAATGGTCGTATAGTGACAGTAGGATAAATACATTACGTAGTGAAAACATGTAATTTTAAATACAGACAATACAAGCATGTTCACTTAATCAGCTTAGTGTTAATGCAAATATTAAATTTAGCTTTGTGAGTGTGCTTCTGTTTAATTTCTATTTAGAAGACAAAAGTATCGATAATGGAAAGCTGTTTTTCTTCTTGTAAAACCCAGCCCTGCCTTGCTGTTCCCACATGTATATACTGTCCTGATGAGGTGGCTGTGGGGCTGTTTCTGTGGGAATGAAGGGCTTAAGCATTTTCTTGTGATACGGGTCTGAGAAGAAGTTTAGTGCATTAGCTGATATAAACGAAGGCTTCTATATTTTTATTGTCAGTTTACAAGTTTGACACCTTTCTAATTTAACCTGCATGCATCTTTGACTGCAGCAGAACCTCTCTGCATCAAACTGAGGCAGAGTCCAGCTCTCTTTGAATGAGAAATGGGCCGTTGATCTTAATGCCCTGTCTCCAGACTCTGAAATCACTTCTTCATTGTATTACCGAAGAGTGAAAAAATATTATTCTCCGTGTTTTCAGAGATAGGTTGGAGAGCCGAATTTCTGCCTGTGGATCACCCTTTGTCAGAGTATGAATTTGATGTTATTATTGGCGCGGATGGCCGCAGGAACACATTAGAAGGTAGGTGAATGTGTGCTTTTAGCATTACAGCCTTTAGGGTATTTTGGAAGATCTGAATGGAGGACACAAAGCGACAGGCTACCTTTCAGTCCAATGAAGTCTGTGTTGAAACTGGTTTTTATGTGATATTTTCTGCTTCTGTGGTTAAGTTGTAGCTCAAAATGAAGAAATCTCATGTCATCTCTGATTCTCAGTACAGTGTATCTGCGTTGCCTACAGAAAGCATCATGATGTCATTGGGCTTGCTTCAAGATTAAGTAATTATATGATGATTTAACTTTAAGGAGGCTGACAAGATACATGTCAGGAATTGCGTAGTCTTTGCTGTTGTGCCCTAAATTTGCACTGTGTGTTTGAACTAATGAACAAAATGTGACCGCCAGGTATTTAACAGAGGCTCTTTTACAGAGGTGATTTAACTTAAGGAGCAGTTAGTTTGGATACTTCAGTCAGTCTCACCTTGGAAATGTAACAGTTAAGCCACTGAATATTTTTCAACTCCTAAAATCTTTGAAAAACCTGGTTAGCTGGTAGTGTTCGCACCTACGCGCTGGTTTGGAGGTTTCTGTTTTTCTTTCTCTGCTGCTTTTGACTGCTGATCTCTTGCATGTTTGTGCCATAAGCTCTTTACCACCTATATAACAAAAATCTTATTGGCTATTTAGTGTGTTAAGAATGTTTTCCTCCATTAAATTTGATCTGCTCTATTTCTAATCTGTTTTTCTTTAGTCATCATTTGTCCTTCTTCCTATGTTGGACTTGTTCCCATCGTTCCCCTCCAGACCTTTTTTTTAATGAGGCTTTATCTTCAGTGCTGTACAGCTCTAGTTTTGCAGCTGGGATCTGGGATAGAGACTCTTTGCATTCCAGGGACTTTTGGAGGAATGATGGAAACTGCTGATGGTGTGTTGTTTGAAGGGTAGGACTAGACATAGGAAAGAGATCAAACTGCCTTGAGCTGACCCTCCCTGGAAGTCCAGTTTGAAGTTTCTAGTGTTTTTAGTTCTTTTCTTTGCTTATCAGGTTTCAGGAGGAAGGAGTTTCGTGGAAAGCTGGCCATAGCTATCACTGCCAATTTTATAAACAGAAATACGACTGCAGAAGCCAAGGTAGAAGAAATTAGTGGTGTTGCTTTCATCTTCAATCAGAAGTTCTTCCAGGACCTTAAAGAGGAAACGGGTGGGTGCATCCTCATTTTTTTGCACAACCAAATACAAGAGGCAGTAGAGGAACTCTTTATGTGCCAGGCCACCCCTTCTCTTCCTATTAACATCAGTTTAAATTTATTGTATATTTTTAAAAACCAAACCAGGAAGTGATAAAATGATGTTGATGTCAGAAGCTTGGAGATGGAAGTGTCCATTTATGGTACAGTGGGATTTCTTCTTAGCTTGGGTGTTGCCACATCATAGACTGTTTTAGTGTTTAAACTTTTCTCGACTGTAAAAACGTCTGCTATGTTGAACAAATTTAGAAGAGCATTTTCAGTGCTCAGAGATTTCCCTAAAGACATGGTTTGTTTTGTTTGCATCCATTCACATACTGAACAGCTTAAACCCTGTGAAAAAGGCTCTGCCCTTCTGGGAGGAGTTTATTCTTGCTTTTTGATGTGTAGATCTGATAAACTGAAAAGAACTAGACAGGAATCTGCCGTAAATACTTAAAATATAAACTGTTAAAATACATCTTTATGAAAAGGGGTTTCAGAATAGTTGAATCCACTGGCAGTACAAGCAATTCCATTTGTGATTTACAACTGATGTTATTTTTTTAAAAATAATGACTATTATAGAAACCAAAACCCCTGGTTAGACCCAGTGCCCTGGAGCCCTAGTAACCTAAAAAGGTTCCCTTGGCTCTCCTTTTCTACCTCGGAAGATTGTTAAGGCTGTAGTTAACTGGCCGTTCCTGAGAAGGATGCTAAATAACTTTTAATAATGCTGAGACAGACTCTTTGGGGTAAGGCTGAACTCCTCTTGTTTTGTTCCGTGTCGTCTTGTCCACTAAGCCTTCATCCCAGCTGGGAAAGGGAATGTATCCCAGGAAGGAGACACCTCTAGGGGCCAATCACATGTTCTTAGTAAATGACATAGACAATGTACTGTACTTCATAACAAATGTATTCTCTCTTTTCAGGAATTGACCTGGAGAATATTGTTTACTATAAAGATAACACTCATTATTTTGTGATGACAGCAAAAAAGCAGAGTCTTCTGGACAAAGGAGTGATTATTAATGTATGTAAAAGTGCTGGCTAAACAACTATTCTATTTACTTGGCACAGAATAAGTGTGAACATCTGCATAAACATTGTTGCATGTTATAGAGGGTGTTCTATAGACTTAGGAGATCACTTCGCTGAAGCTCAAATCACTTAGGTCTTACTCTTGTGCTGACTGGAGGGAAAAACAAACAAAACAAAGTTTCTGTAGAGAACTGAAAACAATACTTCCTAAATTTTTTGGTTCTGAAACTGACTGAAATAGGATCTTGACTCACCTTGAAAATATGTGGTGTGGTCACCACACCAGAAAATAAAAACCTCATTTATTTAAGGGTGATCTTAGCACAGCTATATCCAGTTTTATCAGGCACATAAGGAAGCATTAAAACTAAATTTCAGATTCTGTAAAGTGGGTGCAACATGACAAAAGGAGGCTATAAACACAGCGGCCTGAACTCTCAAAAGTACGTGGGACGTTGAGGCCTTTGTTTCTTTTCTTTTCTCTGTTTTCTTCTTCTCTGTAAGATGTATGGGTTTATTTTCTTTTGTTTCTAGAAAGTGTTTTGGCACTATTTAAATTTCTCTTTCTGGAAACCCAAGAGAAGTCAATTTTTCTTGCACAGTAAGACTGTGCCAAAACAGTCGAGTATAATTTCCCCAAGGAAGTACTTGGGAGCTATCAGGAGGCTTCTTGGCTTTCTGATGGGACCACCCAATGCCACAGTTCCTGCCCCTTTGCAGGACAGGGGCTCCCAGGGCGGAGCAGCCAGCCCTGCCCAGCGGGGCTGGGAGAGGGGAAGGGCAGCAGCCCCCTGGGCTCAGGGGCTGGTGTTTGTAGGTGGGGGCAGTCCCACAGATCTGTGGGGAGTCTGGAGAAGAGGAGCAGCAGCTGTGGCCCGTCAGAGCTGTTTTCCTGATTTGCTCAGGTCTGAGTGGGAGAAACCTCAGTCAGTCTGAACCAACTGGGCTAACAGCGGTTCTGTGCTGTCAGCCCTGCGATTAGGGGTCTCATCTACGATTAACCCGTAAATAGAAACTGGCTTTAAGTAGGATGACCTGTAAAGGCAGGATCCTCCACCACACTGGCCAGAAAAAACCCAGCCCTGAACAGAAGAGAAAAGCTCGTGTGATCCAGGTTTGAATGTGTCGTTATGGGGATGCTAAGTCAAGCCTTCAGGCTGAGACCCGCCTGTTGCATCAGCAGCATGTCGGCACTTCTGCTCTGTGTGGCGTCAGGTGCGGGGTGCACACATCCAAAAAACCGCTGCAGTGGTGGTGATAACATCTTTTGATGGGAGGGAGGTAACGTAATGAAAATAACACATAACCGAGGAACTGGGAGGCACTCTGGTATCCTGTTGCAAATCAAGCTGCTTGTTCCGTGTGGCATGGGGAGTTCCTCTTTGGGGGAGTACGGTAACTTACGCCTGTGTATTAACTTCTTGGAGGAGATGACAAATCCCACTTCGCTCTTTATGCCGTGAGATGTGTGGCTGCCACTCATGCTATGAGACCGCAACATTCCAATCCAGAGAGAGTAGCTGCAATATCTAATCCTAATGCTTCTCTCCTTGCAGGACTATATTGATACCGAGTTGCTCCTCTGTGGGGAAAATGTGAACCAGAGCGATTTGCTGTCCTATGCCAGAGAAGCTGCTGACTTTGCAACCAATTACCAGCTGCCTTCCTTGGATTTTGCAATCAATCACTATGGGCAACCAGATGTAGCAATGTTTGATTTTACTTCCATGTATGCATCTGAAAATGCTGCACTAGTGAGAGAGAGGCACAGACATCAGCTCCTGGTGGCGCTTGTCGGAGATAGCTTGCTTGAGGTATATCTTGGAACGTCGTCTTTTTTAATTCAGCCGTTCAGTCTGCCCTCCAGAACAAACTGTTCTCTTACATGTCTTGAAACAATGGTACCTTCCTTGGAATAGGTTTTTTTCCCTCCTTTTTTTATGCCATAGTTATGTCATAACTAATGCTTGGCTGGCAGTCTCTGGCTGAGATCCTGTTTTGCTTTATGCAAGTTGTATTTCTGTCTGAAAACTGTGAGCTGTGTGTCCTCAGCTTGGGTGCATGACATAATTTTTCTGACTTCCATCACAGAGAAGAACTTGGTCCAAATTTTTATTGCAGTCTCTTTGCCTTAATATGTTATTTTTCTCCCTTTCTGAAATGAAAAGTTATATTACAACTAAGGTAGCTTTTTAAAAAAACAACTCATTGCTGACAGTCTAAAGTGTTTGAAAAGGTCAGTCCAAAGTGAAATTAGGAGATGAGAAGAAAGGCATTGTTTTTCCACTTTTTTCCTTGACTAATTCTTGAATATTGAGTCTTCCCCCCCCGCCTTTACCTTTTGAGGTTAAGAACTTTAGTTTTAAATATAGAAGTTAAAAAAAAAAAAAAGTGAAAAAAGTCTTTTTCATTACCTAAGACTTGGAGGAGAGAAACGTCTGAAAACTGCAAGAGTTGGCTGTGTTGTATTTTAACTCTTTATGGGATATTTTCTAAGACTACACTAAATTCACATTGCAAGTTACTTTTGTAACAAGACCTTGAGAAATATGAGGAATTAAAATGTAAATGCTTCTTACAGCCCTTCTGGCCAATGGGTACTGGCTGTGCAAGAGGCTTCTTGGCTGCTTTTGACACGGCATGGATGGTGCGGAGCTGGGCTCAGGGAAAGCCCCCGTTAGAAATCCTTGCTGAGCGGTGAGTGCTGGCTTTGTCTTCTCCATTGTTTCCAGTGTTTTCCAGAGTTGCAGTATTGGTAGAAGGCAGTGGAATTCGGAATGCCAACAGGAGCAATACTGTTCTTCACTGCAGTGGCACTGGGTTGAAATTACTTACTCCTTCAGGTTACTGAACAATTTACAACAGCAGTAGGCTGTTGCTCCGTGAGCTTCTGCACACTAATGCAGAGATACAGCCATGTGCATGACATGGGTTTAAAACACTAATTTAAGTCACTAATGACTAGAATTAAATGTGATCCTTAAGGAAATGAACCAGTTATCTTGCGTCAAAAGATTAACCCTCCAACCTTCTCAGCACCTGTTTTTTTTTTTAATTAAAAAAAAATAAATCCTGAAACAAGTCTAAATAAATACTTTAACAACTTTCATAGTTGGTATCTGTGATTTTTAACTCTGCATTTCAGCTTGGTAGCCCTGATGCCTTTTTTATTTAGACTGATAAATATGTGGTCATGGAGAATTGCTGTAATTCTGCATCATAGGCTTCTCCATGTAATGTCTCTTTGACCAGAGCAAAAAATCCATTTAGTACATCAGCTGTCCTGGTGTCACCATGTTCTGATGCTTGAAGTTGCTTACTTCGGTTCTGATGGCAACAACCCTGCTCCACTACAGCTGCTCAGGCTGTTTTGGGGCAGATACATAATAGAAATAGTCATTGTTGTGGCAGTGCAAGTAGAAGCATTACTAAGTACTGTACTTTGAGAAGTTTTAAGATAGAAGCCTGTGGGATGACTCAAAACACAGCATAGTCCCAAATGGAAAACTGAACAGCATAATAAGGAAGGCTGTGGTGGTTATAGGAATTACAGAATGACGGGATTTAGTGCTGTTATGTGGCAAAGAAGTTACTCCTTGGGTGGACATTAAAGCAAAACCAGATGACTGAATGATGTAACCTCCTTTTTTGTGTTTTTTTTTCCCCCCTTCTTTTTCTTGCTTGCTTCCTGCCTCAGGAAAATTTGGGCATAATTTCTAAGAGTTTGTCCTTTTGTTGTCCTTTTTCTGGCTGGCATCCTCCTGATAAGCAGGCATAAGAAATGGGATGGATGCATTCTGCATTTAGTGCATAACACTTGTCCTGGAGTATGAAAATAAGGTGCAGGTAGCTGCAAAAATAAAATACTCTTTATATAAAAAATATTTGTTTTAATCAATATCTCTTGCATCTTTTCTTTCTATAAGAGAGAGCATTTATCGACTCTTGCCTCAGACCACCCCTGAAAATATTAACAAGAACTTTGACCAGTATACCATTGATCCAGGAACAAGATACCCGAACCTGAACTCAAGTTGTGTTCGACCTCACCAGGTCAGTACTTGAAAGGCTTGCCTGTGAAATCACAGCTTATCCTTTGTCCAGGAAAAAGAAGGCTGCAAGTAGCATGTAAGCAAAATCAGTAGGAGACTCCTTAATTTAGAACCAGCTGTTGATAAAATTAACCTAGAAAGGAAACTTTTTCTCTCCAAGCAGTTCTAACATTATGCTCCTAATTGCTTTTACTCGTAGGTGAGACAATTATATGTTACCAATGAGTTACAGCAGTGTCCTCTTGAAAGAGTAGGCTCCATTAGAAGATCAGTGAATCTCTCAAGACATGGTATGTGGTATCTCGTATTTGTTGTGGCTTAATATTTAGAGCCTTTTGAGCATAGAAAAACTGTTCAGAATGTTTGCTCTCCGCTGTAACTGCAGAGTCAGAGAGTCGACCTAACAAGCTTTTGACCTGGTGTCAGAAGCAGACGGAGGGGTACCGTAACGTTAACGTCACAGACCTGACGACCTCCTGGAAGAGTGGCCTTGCATTGTGTGCCATTATCCATCGCTTCAGACCTGACCTCATGTAAGTGACATCTGCGGATCTGCTTGAGTGTGGGATATATTAAGCATTTACTAAATTATAGTGTAAGACCAACCAGAACAACACTGATGCTCTGCAGTCCCCTTCTGCTGCTGGTTTTTGCAGGGAGGTGCACACCATTGCCGGGTTTGGGGGATGGAGAGGGTGGAGTTGTTCTTGCTTTGTTTTTTCTGTATGTCCTTGCATGCTATTTAAAATGAAATATATATGTTTTCAAAGAGCTAGGAGGGCTTTGAACCTTATGATTTATGATCATGTTTGTGGGAGTTACATAGCTATTTAAAACAAAAATTGCAGTGCTTAGAGAATGTGAGAGTTGCGTTCCCAGGTCCCTGGAGACAGGTTTCTAGCGTGTGTTTAAAACCACAGCCCTAGTGGCACTGTCGTGAGTTACAGAAATACCTGCATGAGCCTTAAATGAGCCATCCTCAGTGTGTTGGAGTGGTTGCTGTGACAGCAGTGCAGGGAGATGCTGGGCCGTGGAGGTGCACAGGAGATGGTGGTTTTGCACAGCTCTTTGTCCAGAAGAGCACAGTGCCCTTGCACATGGGCTGTGCAACAAGGGCTGGCCCTTGAAATCGAACTGCTTCACGGGTGGAATGTAGCCAGCATTCCTTTTTTGACGGTGTTTCTGGGGTCCTAAACCTCCAAGACCTGACTTCTTACGAATATTTTGTCAGGTTCCTTGGTTAAATGCAGGAGGGTCGGTGTGTAGCAGGTGTCAGGAAGTGGCAGTTGCTGGCAGGAGGTTGGTTAACTGGGCCTGCTGGGTGTGGTCTGTGGTGGGTGACTTGTGTCTTCTCACCAGTCTCCAAAACGCATTCCCTTGCCTTCCTGTGCAGACTTGGGGCCGTGAATGAATTACTGTCAGCATCCCTTTATTGTGGGTAAATGAAAAAAATGATTGACCTCTTTTATGAGGTGTGATAAGTTGGAAAAAAACAGGAGCAATACACAGGGTGCTTGTTTATACAGATTTGCCAGAGGAAGAGCTAACAAGAAAGAGATTTAATTTTTTTCCCCCCCCCTCAGGTTAGTTTTAAAAAAAAGGGAATTACAGATGGCTTTGTGGATATAAGGGGGGCAGAGTGTAGAAAGCAAAGCAATCTTTGCTGTCTGTAGAAAGCATGTCTCCTAAGCACTGCTCTCTAGAAAGTTGATAGATTTATCTTCCTGAGCAAACATTCCTCCTGCTGTTGAATTCACATTGTGTTCGGGTCTTGTTGGCTTTTTGTACTAAATGGGACTGCTGAAGGACTTGGCCAGAGGAAAGCGGGGCAGGCAAGAGAGGCGTCTGGTGGTGGGCTGCGGGCAGGGCTGGGATGGAGGGCTGCCTCCAGCCCCCTGGCTCCAGAAATGGGCACAGCCTGTGGATGAGGCGAGAGAGAGAAGTCCTTTGGGGTTCAAAACCTCACATTCCTTATGAGGAGAAAGAAAGTGCTCTGCCTGGAGCCTTGTAATTTATTCACGTTTATTTTAATCGTGAATTTTGGAAGCTGTTCAAGGGATCAGAGTCTTAGAATAGGTCCCATAGAAAATGAATTAGAGAATGGATAATGCAGTTCCAGATGTGTGATGCGCTTTAGTGCCCTGCTGAGTCCGGTTACGGCACGGGCAGGAGGGCCTCATTCAAGCTGTGTGTGTAACACCCTAAAAAGAAATGTAGCGCCCGTGCACTTGTGTGCGCACACGTAGAAAACGTTTGTTTCAGAAAATGCTAGCTTAAATTTACTCCTTCTGGCTTTGATTTATAGAACCAAGTGAGATGAAAAAGTCAATTGCTAACAGGTGAAATCTGTAGGACCACAGCTGTATTCGGAGAGGAAAAGGGTTTCTTAGTGCTTCTGAGGAGGAACTGCATTTCCTCATAAATAAGGGAATCCTTTTACATGGGACTACATTAAAAACCAGTTCAGTGAAATAGCATTTAAATTACATTTCTGGCAAAGCCAGGATTTGAAATAATGGGATTTGTATGAGACTCCTACCTTTGGCGTTGGTAGACTCTGTGGCTTTGACCCAGTGAAAGGCGTGTGTGGTTATTTATGGTGCTGTTCTGCGCCTCTGATGGGCAGGGGAGCCCTGCGTGTTTCCGAGGGGCAGAGAACAAACTGCCACTGATGCCAGTGTGTCGTCCCTGCAGTGACTTCGATGCTCTGAATGAAGAGGACGTTGTCAAAAACAACCAGCTGGCATTCGATGTTGCTGAGCAGGAGTTTGGGATCCCCCCTGTGACCACGGGGAAGGAGGTGGGGTCGGCCAGGGAGCCCGACAAGCTCAGCATGGTCATGTACCTCTCCAAGTTTTATGAACTGTTCAGGGGCACACCTCTGCGGGCAGTAGGTAAGCTGAACCCAGACTGCTCCTAGTCCTTGCAGGTCTGGGGAGTAGAGGCACTTCATCCAGGCTGCTTACAAGCACTGCTCTTGAGCCAAGAGCCCTTTCCCAGCTGAGCTGTTCTGGCATGGAAGTGTGCCTGCTTCTGCCTGCAATAGTTACCTTGTGCTTAAAAAAGGAAAGGGGAAAAAACTTGATTGAAGACCGGGGTTTTGTGGGTCCTTGGTGGCTTCAGAGAATGGGAGCAGCTAGATAACTGCTGCTTGACATCATGAAGTTCATGTATCAGGTTGTTAGAGTGATCCTCTTGTAAGGATGACTGCAGACGGTATGGCCATTCCTGGGTGTTTCTCTTCCTTTTTTAAAAAACTCACCCTACATTGTATGTATTTACTTCTATTTCCCTGGGTTTCTTACGTATGATTGCTACCAGCATGCAACTGGAAAGATCTGGCTTAGTCGAAGTATTTAAAAAAGAAATCTGAACAAATATCCTAAGGAGTTGTTTTTTTGAACAGATGCTGGTGACAAGCAAAATGGAGAAAATAATGATCTTTGTTCAGCAAAATCATCGAACTTCATCTTTAATAATTATATGAATTTAACTTTACCAAGAAAACGAGTACCAAAGGTAAGTTGTGAAGGAATACTTAACCCTATAAATCTTTCTCATTTAAAAAGATGAAAAGAAACTGTCAGGCTCAGAAATAAGGAGTTTATGTATATCCTACTATTAAAAGACCTGTACAAGATGATTTTTGAGTATATTAGAAAAGTAAAATAAGATTTAACAGTAAACAAAGCTAATACACACACAATCATTATGGTGCTTGTAAGGATAAAAGTGAAGCATTGTGAGTGTCAGATGGCTGAAGCATTAATAAAAGTCCCAGTTAGGTGTTCTCTGTAAATGCAAAATTTTGAATCACAGTGAGAATTTGGATGTATTTGGGGAGAATTTCTATCCATTGTCCATGTCAGTCGTCTTCAGTGTAGGTAAAAGTGAGAGAAGGAGGATGTTTTCTTTGGTGTGTTTATAAGCTGCTGTTTTCAACTTGAAATATTTGAGATCTTGGCTCTGTTTTGTATATTGTCTCTTATGTTTTATTTTTTTAAATCTTTCAAAAGGTGTTTTTTAGGAAGTTTTGTCCAATACTACATGCTATGTTTTTTACTTTGGTAGGCTTTGGGTTTGGGGTTTTTTGAGGTAGGAAACTATATTTTTTCTGGGTTCTTTATACCTATAAGAAAAATAGTACTGTAGTTCTGTATTCCTAATTAAATATACAGGCATAATATTATGTATCAGTTGGAATAATGCTTGTTGATTGGGGGGGAGCGCTGGTTTTTAATGAAAGCAGTGGTTTGAACAGCCTGTGCATGCTGTCGAGGTTGTGGAGGGAAGTGTTCAAACCCTCACGGATGTATGGGGGCACAAACAGTGGGCACGTTGACTATCATGACTCTGAGATAATGATCTCTTGGTCACTTATTAATGACAACTTATTGACGTCCCGTGTCTACGTCCCTGTACAAAGCACATCCGTGCCCATATGTGTCGCAATTAAAGACGGCGGGGCCTGGGAGGGTTGTGGAGGGTTACGGAGTTACTACTGACTGGCGTAGGACTGTGAGTAGTGAGCCTTGTCTACATGTTTCTGAATGGATTATAACTTCAGAAGCTTTGTGTTATTTAATTTGAAAGCTACTTTAATGAAATTATTCAGTAATAAACTGTTTCACCTTCTTCCTATTCATTAGCTTGGTCCCCTTCTGAAAGGAGACCTTGAGGAGGGGCGCTGCTTGCGCGGCCAAGCCTACCTTCATTTTAACTTCACTTTAAACGGGGAGTGTCTGCACAACCTGGCTTAGGGGCAGCAGTGCCTCAAGTACAACTCCTGCAGATGAACCAGCACGATTTAGACAGCAGCATGTATTCCTCTGTATTCCTCTACCAAAATGAATTTAACTTCTTCATTTTCTGAAACAAGCTTAATGTAAAACTGTTCCGGGTTGTGAGTTTCCTGGGCTAGCCAGAAACTGTAATCCAATTCTCAATCTCCTTCTTTGGTTTTGCATTTGGGTTTTTTCATTTTTTTACTTTTTTTAAACGAAACTCCTTAATGCTTAACTCTATTGCTTCATTTACACCTGTGCAGAGACCCTGTCTTGCCTGCAGAAGCACAGCTTTCCTACTTCTTTTGGAAATCAGTGTCCTTAATAAAAAGTTTAGGTGTACATTTATGTACTGCATTTCTCAATATTTTAACATATTGGTTTTTAAATTTGTTATTGTCTTCTCGGTAGAAGTGTGATTGATTTCCAGCCCCCATCTCTACCCCCACATGAAGAATTACTCCAGCATTTCCAGATATTTCCTAGACTGACTTACGTCTTGAATATTTTCCATCCACAAACACATTTTGAAAACCTGTGGATAGTCATTTGCCCAGTAAGCTCATACATCCTTGTTAGGAAATAACTTTTCCCTGCCACCCACATATACACAAAACCAAGTGACATGCTTCCCAGCTAACCAAGCAGTGAGAAACCAAATGGGCAAAATAAACATTGCTTTTTCTTGTGGGGGACTTCTTTAGAAGAAAAACCTTTTTCATGACCACAGTGGTGGTGTTTTTCCATGACTTATTTGCAGAAGTAAATAGACTTGTAGTGGTGGGAGAGCTTTCCATTCCTAAGCCATACAGCCCTCTGACTAACCTCCCATCGTGAAATACGCCTTCTGTCATAACAGGAGTATGGTTCTTGGCACTACATGAAAGCATGAGGTGATTTGCTTGACAGGCCCCTTCGGTTTCACATTACAGGGTCTCGTCTGAAATGAGAAGTGGAAGTGATATTTTCTAAATCAGCCTGGGGAGCGGGACTGTCAGGACCTCATTTTGTATGAGGCTTTGCAGCCCTGGCCTGGATGGGGCGTGAAATAAAGCAACAAACACAGTGCTTGGGTTGGGACAGAGACTTGTGAGTGCCGTAACCATCTGAACCAGCTGGGAAGTGACGGTCCTTGGAAAGCGACTGCTTGAGTTAAGAGTTTGGCTGTGGCTTCAGTTGTATGGTTCTTTTCTCTGCAAGAAGTGGTGCTGTCATCCAGGTATGACAGCAGGAGAGCACTTGCGTATCAGAGTCAAAACCCAGCTGGGGTAACAGTGTCACTAAACTTTCCGTACCATCTAGTTAGTCCTTCTCTTTGCCCGGAAGAGGGATCCTTGTCGGAGTGCAGGTTGTCGGAGACCAGGAACCAGGGCCCTGGGGCTGCTGTGGCGGTTGCTGTTCTGGCACTGCTGGCCTGGGTCATGTTTTCTGTTCTCCCGTGAGTGTCAGCTGGGCTGGAGAGGAACTGTTTTCCTGTGCTCCAGACTAAGAAATGAATGGAGGTGTTTACACAATGAAGGGCACAGGCCTTTTTTTCTTGGAGTTTTGCGAGGCAATTAAATTGCTTTGTCTTTCACTTACTTGTAAATACATTAATGAAAATCTTCTGTGTAAGATTTTTGAAAGGCAACATCGTGTTTGCTCCATTCACTTAGGCAAATTCTGCTTTTATGTGGTACTCATTATTATGCAGAACACATTGTGCTGTTACGTTGTTCACCCTTCCTTGGTAGGCTAATAACTACAGGTAGTGTAGAACTAGGTTACTGAGAGCTGGTGCTTGAGAGACAATATACCAAAGCACACAAAGTAATCAGAATATTGTCATCTGGTTCTTCGGGTGTTTGCCCAGAAGTTGTTTGGGATTACTCCTATTCATTGCACAATGATTTATTAGAAGCAGTGTGTATGTAAAAAGGAAGCCTGTATTCTTTGATCTTTCTTTATTCTTTTTTCTTTTAAGTTGGCTGAACAATCACTTGAGTTACAGCGTGGGCAAATGCAAGTGGAATGTAGTCTGTTGTTCATAAAGTATAACCTAACATGACATTTTTCAGACCAAAAAAAAAAATAAAAATCCCCATTGTACCAAATCTTCAAGACCAAGTTTAATAAGAACTGATACAAATTTTTAAGCGTTGACTATTTTGCAAGTTTGTGTGGACTGAGTGTGAAGTATTATTATTTATGTCATCTCTAATTCAGTAAAATAATTAAATATGTGCATAGCTTGAGCACAAAAACGGCAATTTGGTTGCTTAAGTGCTGTAATACAAAGCTATAGTCAGGGAAATGAACCTTACAAGGGAGACAGACCTTTAAGGCAGACAGTAATTGCTCCGAAACAGGAGATCTGTCTGCACTACGAACACACGATCTGCATGCGGCTACCTGGGTTCAAATAGACATGGAGTCTATAGAGAAAGAGTAAGGGCATTCTGGACATTGTTACTTATCTGGAAACCAGCGTCGTCTAGTTTATAATTCACAGAATATCTGATGTTGTAATGTCTTTTTCTTCAGGGGTTTGATAATGCTTTGTGAATTATAAACTCTTCAGTGCTGGAAGGGGAAAAGGTCGACACCAATGTTGTCGGGCCTGTGTTCGACGGAACATACGAGCATGTATTTTCACCCATCAGAGTCCAGGGAAAGCTTCTAGTCAGGGGTTATGGGGCAACTTTTACGTTTGTGGTAGCTGCCCTGGGGGCCAGCAGGCTCCTCGTGTGAGGATGATCCCGCCGAGCCGGGGGGGCCCAACAAGGCGCACCAGTGCGAAGAGGGCCTCCGCTGGCGCCGCTCCCTTGCGTTTGCCTTGTTTGACGCAGCCGGAGCACGCCTGCCTGGTCATGGAAGTTAATACCCTGGGAGGAACTGCTTTGGTAGAATGGTAGCTGCCGCAGTAATCCATAGAAGTTGTTTTGGCTTTACCGTTTCAGGTTGAAGGGAAAACAGAAGAAAACGAGACTAACAAAAGACGTCGAAAAGGACTTTTTGGTGTCTTTGAGGAGGTTAGTGTTCAGTGGTGTCCACGCATATCCAGCTCCTTGATGAACGCCAGAGCTGAGGAAGAAGCAGGAGTTGAGGTGCCAAGGCTCTTGTCCTTGTCAGGAGCAAAAAGCCTCTCCCCTTAAAACCTTGTACTGTGGTGTGCACTAAAGGTCTACATTTATTTAAATCACTTGGTAGTGAGGAGACCATTACCTAAATTGCAGTCGTTTTCTTTCTGACCCAAGAACATTTAAGGTATTGGGATATTTTGTTAACTTTTCCCAGCTCAATTATTTAAACAAATCTTTGTTTGAAGAGTTTGCCTTGCAGCTTGCCCCACTGATTGGTGATGTTTGTGATTCTGCTTTATCATCACCAGCACCCATTAACATTCCCTTTTTACTCGGGGACTAAAGAAAATATTATTTCTTGACTCTTGTATGTTAAACAGTCATTTTTAATATATTGTAGACTGTATTTCCTTTCACCCTCTGCTGATAAGGATGTTATCTTTCTTTTCATGACTGTCATAGGTAAACATGAAAAAAATATTTTGTTGTTTCCTTGCAGGCTTCAGGCTTTTCAAGCCAAGGGACAAATGCTGTGAAAGAACAGAGTGATGGCAGAGAAGGAATGAACCAGAATAAAGTTAAATCAATGGCAACTCAGCTGCTGGCTAAGTTTGAAGAGAATGCTCCAAATACAGTTTTTCGCAGGCAGGTAGGTGGTAGATGAACATAAAAGTAACTTCTGAAATTAAAGTGTGGTCCCTCCTTGTGAATGTGATGAAGACTTCCGAGGGGAAAAAAATGGGTTGGTTATGTGTTTGAAGTGGATCGTCTTTGTTTGACATTTTATGCAAATTAAAGGTATTCCTCTCAATACTTAGTGAACAAATATGTCTAATATAGAATGACTAATGCAAATCAATATAATATATTAATATACATGGTACTAATCAAGTGTAGTGGAATTGTAGTATCTAGAGATCTCTGGTAAGCCAGGCTGTAGAATGTTTGCTTTGTGTGGCAGTCTAAGCTGGCTGCATGTGGGATTACAGAAGGACTGTTTCCCTCTATATTGTGTGAATAAAGGACACTCATATCCAGGGGAATCTTTGTGGAAAATTTAGCAAGTATGAGAAGTGAACCTAATCTCTAGCAAGACATGTCTGGCTGCCATTTCCATTCCTAAAGTAAGCATAATGGAATGTATTTGCCAATCCCATAGCACTTTCATGGTGTGTGGTTAGTGGTGCTTTAGAAATAATCCCATGCTGTCAAGGTAGAGATGATAAACTCAGAATCACACTTGAGCCAGTGAGATGGTTTGAGTCAGTTGAGTTCAGGTCTGTCACTTAAAATATCTGAAGGCAAGGGGAGCAAGGTGCCCAGGTTCTGTCAAGGGTGGTGGCCGCCTTTAATTGTTTGTGCCTGTATCCATTTATTCACACATTTAAGTCCTCCTTGCTCCACGTCAGGTGACTTTCCCAGTCTGTGAACCACTGTTGCTTGCACTCTGCCTGGCTGCTTACCCACGTCCTGAGCTTTCTGCGCGCAGTACGTGCGCAGAGGTTTACTGGCTCATGTTGAGGGAAGCCCTGGTGCGTTACTTTGTGATCATAACCTCTCCTAAGGAATGCTGAATGTGCTGAATTTCAAGTATATCTTTGGTAGATGGGGTTAATAAAATGAGTAACAAAAATCTCCAAAACGTGTTGTTAAGCTCCGTAGTAACATGTCTTCAAAAGCAGCTTTTATTTCTTTCTGCCACAAAAGACCTTTGAATCCTATTTACTGTCGTCTTCCTTTTTCTTTTTTTTTTTTTTTCCGCTCTGTCTCTCTAATTTTAAAAATGCTTCACAAGGAGGTAATAGATAGACCAGGCCTGCTCTCTTCTGACCCTCCTGTTAATCCTCGCTTTGCTAAACCGAAGGATCCCAGTCTTCTTCCACCTCAACCAAAGAGGCAGGTAGGAACTCGTATGGGTAACACTTCGCAAGCAACACCATTCCTCTTACTGCTGGAAACTCAGTGTTATTGTGTAACTACAGAATGTAGGAAACGATCTTTGGATGTTATCTGCAGAGTTAACAGATACATTTAGCTGAGAATTACGAAAACTAGGTTAAAATTTAAAGCTATTTTACATCTGCTTGACCAGATGAGAAAACTATTTGAAAGAACGAGTAACTGTGAAAACAAACCCTAAAAACATAGGTGTTGACTTGTGTTATCACATCTAGATTCCAAATTGCATAAATATAATTACATAGTTATATTTAATGTGTGAGAACACTACAGCAGTACCCAAAAATTTGTCTGTGCATGTACTCGATGCTTTGGGTGGTTGTAATGATAAGGCAAAGGGAGTTTTCCACCCCGAGAAACCTGGCAAAAATGTCTAAGATACGAACTTGAGTACTGAAAAGCTGTTATTGATGCCCAGGTGTGTTTATTTCTTTAAGCAGAACTTGCGATAAGACTTTCTGCTGAAAGCTCTGTCGGAGCATCACATACATGGGGCAACATTTTTGAATACGTTGTCTAAATATTTCTCATAGTACTTCCAATCAAAGTAATCTCATATCAAATAGAACTGACACTCGCTTTACGTTAGAGTTTTACATGGAAGTAAATATCCTGTAGTGGCATTTCAAGAGCAGTCTGAAGTGAAACGAGATCTGCATTGCATGTGGAAATCTGCAGATCAGCTTGATGAAAAATGCAGATTCATAAACCAGTTGAGAATTGTTGTTTTAAAGGCAGGTGTGCCATCCTGAAACATCAGAGCACACTGCAAGTTGATTGGCATTAGGTTGTTTTATTTTAATTCTGAGAAATTGAATTGGGCAGACAGGATGAAGGAGAAAACTGTCATGAAAAGGCTAACAAAGGTCATTTTTAAGGCTGAATTTGATAAAGCTGAACTGGTTCAGATGTTTCATTTACTTCAAATGCTATTCTATATGAAAATTCAAATTCAAAGGCCTATTCTGAACTCCTTGGAAAACGCTTTAAATCTGAAATACGTTTTAGCTTGACTTGGGTCAGACTAGGTCTGGAATTATGCCAAGAACTACAATGATGGTCTTACTATTTGATTGTAAGTTTGGTTTTGGGCAGACGTGATGGTAAAAAAAAAGCCCAAACCTTTGTGAAAACCCTAGAAGGAGATGTAGTGTCACATTCTTCTGCACTGATGCTCTCTGGGGTTATTCATAAAAACAGACACAAACCTAGAGAAGGATGTCAAGACCTGCATTAGTTATGTAGGGCTGATTTATTTTAGTGCATGGACACAAGCACCAGAGATGCAGTAGATAGTGTGCGAGGAGTCATGTGGGAACATTTTATTTCTAGTTATGTGCATGACTGTGCTGTGCTTTCAGAAGCATCCTTAAAAGCTGCATATACTGCATGGTCGTGCAGCAAGATTTTTTTTCACTTGAAGTGTTTCCCAGTTTCAGGTGGTAGCTAGAAGTGAACACGAGGTCAGGGAGCCCAAACAGTCTTTAAATGGTTCTGATCATATGGCCAGGAGAGCAAGGACTGTACTAAAACCAGATACCCAGCCCAGTCTGTCAGAAACCTCTGAAAATCTTGCGTCTGCCTGTTCTGCTGCATTTGTACTCTCTGGAGTGCTTGAGCGTCTTCAGCACCTGGAGGAAAAAATGAAACAGGTGACAAGCAATTTCTTTTCCTTTCTGTCTCTTAACTGCATGTGTTACTCTGTATGCTGTATTTTCCTGGGATGTGCTGACTTTTTCTCTGTTGAGTTTAGGTTATATTAAGACAATAAAAAGCCTTTCTATAAACTTGCTGTATTCTGATGATGTATGTGACATTAACTGAAATCTCTCTCTCTTTCTTTTCTTGGCTTCCTTCCCTGGCTCTTACTGCAGAAAAGAGCTCAGACCATAGCAAATAGGGAATTCCAAAAAAAGAACATTAAAGAGAAAGCAGAACATCTTGCCTCAATGTTTGGCTACATGGAGTTTCCAAAGGTGAATATTAGATTTTGCACCTGAAGAAATGCTGAGTTAGAAGATGTATTCATGGGGGCGAAAAATTGCAGTGGCTTTGGTTTGAATTTTCCTGGCTAGATCTGGAAAGTAATGTGGATTCCACTGAAACTGGTAAAAAAGCTTCATTTAAATGTTATTGCGTAATTTAATTGAGGTAAAACACAACCTAAATGATAAAGCTGGTCAGAGTAGTTTAGCACTAGAGAAATGTGTTAGAATAAACCATGTCGTGTGCTGGACTGTACGCTGGGAGCTCGCGGTTCCCAGTGCTGGTGAGCAGTAGCTCCCGGTGCAGTCTGGCATTTCTGATGTTTTGTTACGCTCTCTTCCGGCACTATCTTGCCTTACTGCCTACTGTGAATATTTTTGGTAAGAAAACCCGAGTACAGTAATATCATTTGCCGTGAAGGTTTTGCCATCATGATTTCCATGGCTCCTCAGTGTGCAGGAATAGAGGAAAGAGCAGAATGGTAGTTACTGTCTTTCTATTTTTTTTGATGCATGACTGAAATTGTTCTCTTAACCTGTGCTAATGTCACTGTCTCTTGGATAACTTTCCTGTTTCTGCTCTACACAGAGTAAGCTTCCTACTAAAGGCTTGTCCCATTCTCAGCCCCCAACTCCCTCTTGCCCTCCACCTCATGATTCAGCTGCTGCCTCTTCTCCATCATCTGTCAGTTCAGCTTCCCCTGCTGTTCCTTCTAGACAGGTATTCTATTAAAAGCTTTTTCCTCTAAAATCCAAACTCGTGGTAAAGCTGCTTGTGCAATGGCTTGGATGGAAGGCACTGCCAGCAGATCTCTTGTATAGGTTGTCTCTCACATTTGACTCGAACTTTACTTTGTTGGCTGTTGTTAAAAGTGGTTCAGGTATAAAGCTGAAAACCAAAGCAAATAGTTAACAGAAATTTTACTTCAATTCTGAAAGTTTTGCATTGCTGCTGATTGTAAATGTTCTGTTGTTGGATAACGCCACAGACACACCTAGCAGAGAAAGAGCTTCACGTTGTATAGCTGACTGGATTATGGGATCGGCTAGCTGTCCTTGGGTGGCATTAGTGTTTCTTTTCATACGAATACCCATCTGGGCTGCAGGGGGGAACCTGCACAGTAGTGGTTATTTTAACTAGAGGATGTGTCTTAGAATTGTATGAGCACTTGTTGATACAGACAGATATTATTGTTGCTTTGTTTACTTATTTGTACTTTAAACTTGCTTCTGCACATTAATTGCTGGGATACAGCAGCAGACTTCACAGAGAGGAAATGTATACTCTGAGTGGAAGGGATTAGAACACTTGAATTGGAGATACTCATCTTCTGCTACTTATGCTGATGTTACAGTGGGCTGTGCTTTTATCTGTGAAGTTAAGGTGACATTGGCCTCTAACTCCCCTTGTTTTAGAAGGATTTTAATTGAAGAAAGTTTGATATTTTTCAGCTTTTCAGGGCAGGTAAAGACCCAGGTTTCCTTCACCCACAGATTATGTAGCAGCAGTTTGGGAACACGGCAGTATTGAATAGGGTTGGTGTGGAAATAAAGGTGGAAACATCAAACTTTTTAGAAGTATTAAAGTGTTGTAGCAATGCAGGTCTGCTGGTGCTGGCAGCTCCGCTGCCTGACACACAGAAGAAATGCTGTTTTGCAAAATCAGACACTGTCTCTGTTTACTGTGAGGAGGAGGAAAGCATTTTGCCTGCTTTTGTTGTATTTAAATAACAGTAACTTCATGAAACACTCATGAGTATTGCCCAACTCCAGGTGAGCATTTCCTTTACAGGGTTACCAGAGAGTGCAAGTGGCGTTGCTGGTGCTGCCCTTGCTGTAGGGGTAACTGAGGGGCCGTGGGGGTTCGCCAGGGTCACTCAGCCGTGGTGTCTGTGCGAGCTGTTGTGGAGAAGGGGGGGTGCTGCTCCTCTGCCCACTGTCGGCTCGCTAAGGGGTGATGGACAGTCACCAGAGCAATGGAGGTTCAGCCCAGGCTCGGGGATGGGGATAGAGACCCTTGACTAGCAAGGGGCACGGCGCTGGGGAGGCCTGAGTCTGCAGCACGGACGCCCTTTGCAGCAGGTTAGGCCAACGTGCACTTACTTTACATAACGTGGGTCCTGCCCTGGGGATGGGGATGGACTCGATGGCCCTCTGGATCTGTGTCCCTTACTTGCCTTGGTGACGTGCTGGTGAGGTCTGAAGGGATGTGCAGGACTTGTTCTCCATAGTGTTCATGTGCTGGGAGATCGGTTCAGTCCTGCGATATCCCTGTTACTTTAGCTTTAGCTCTCCTTGGCAACTTCTGTTCCTCTTCAAATTACACAGGCTGTGTTTTGCTTTCTCAAGCAAAATTTTTCCAGAAGTGGATTTCTTACTGCTGTTTTTACTGTAAGAGTATTAAATCTCCAGGGAACACCTGCTGCAGCCTTGATTTCATAGCAAGCAATCTGTCTGTGCCCTTCCATGGTTAAATCATTGTCCCCACGTTTTTATCTTTTAAGATCACTCACTTCTCAGAACACGAAAATTTTATCATACTTTAGAAAACACTGTCTAAATGTACAGCACTATATAAATAAAATGTTATAATATTTCAGCTGTGCAGTGCACATCTTCAAGTACTGCACATGGTAATCTAACAGTCCGTTTGGACCTCTCTGCTGTGAATGTGTACCTGTGGGGTTACAGGACCCAGAGATTGTATTTCTGGTCTCTGTTCTGAGAGAGATCACTGAGTGAGCCTAGACTTCAGTATGAAAAAGGGCTTTTAGGGTTGGTAAGCCAACAGAAAGAGTCTCTCGTGTTGCTCGCACTGTTTCTGCTTTTTCCCAGCAGAAGAAGATAACAGAAGTCTCTTGAGTTTTGTAAGACGTCATGAGATATGACCTATAAATACCAGCACCTCCCATCCTTTAAATAGTACTGTCATTTTAATTTCAATTGAGTACTGAGATTGTGATCAGACGATCCTTTGCATCTGTTGATTTTTCATTGGCACAGTATTAGTTACGGTGGCTACTTCTTGAAAGTGGTGGCTAAGGAATCATACTGTCTTATTACAGAAACCTGTTATTAAGCCTCCGTCCTGAAAGGAGCACTTGAAAAGGCGGCTATGGAAGCATACTGTTTCTTTTAAAGACATACAGTCATTACAGCTCATTAAGCATTAACTTCTATATGACATTATATGCAAGTTGTCATTAATAATCAAAGCTACCTTCAGCTGTCAACATTCCCATAGGCAGGATTATGAATTAACAAATCGTGTATCACAGGCTGGGCTTTGGTTATTCCTGTTTTCTGTTTAAAGTTGGATTGACCTTCAGAAAACTGTTCATCTGAGCTTTGCATGAGTGAATCCACACAAGACGTCATAAGAACTATGAGAGTGTTGCAATCAGTAGGCTTTGCTGCCTGCAGAGTTTGGACCAAGCACTTCCCTTCAGTGACGTGACTCTAATTACCAGCAGTAAGCAGAGCTTGGGTGTTTCCTACACCCAGTAACTTATTACTCAGATGTTGTTTATCTCGGAGGTAAAATATATGTAGCAGGTGGTACCAAAAGTAAATAAATTGCCCTCAAAGCAAAATAAGCCCAGAAAAATCATTAAGGATATAAAACAACAAAGGGGAAGCACTGTATACTTTTGCAGGCAGACAGCATATTTCCTTTGTTTTATGAAAATACTTCTGAGGCTTGCTTGTTGGTTGGCTGAGGTATTATAAATAATAGCACAGGGAAACACAGAAGGCAGCTTTCTCTTCCCACATAACAACCACCCTGATCAACCTGATGAAAAGCTTTGGCAACATGTCATTGACAGGTCAATGGTTTTAGTAAATCACAAACACTGGGGGGATTTTTAAATGTTTCCTTGGTTGTTTCCTGAAATTCAGCATGTAAGGTAACTTTCCGACAAAGGATTTACAGCTACTGGTATAAACCTCCTTGAGTTGTGAGCAGTAGCCTGTTACATGTTGATAGTGGCCCCAGCACTACAAAACTGCGTGTGTGTGTGACTTCACGTACACCAGTAGCCTCAAGGTAGTAAGTGCATGAGCGAAGGATAAAACCTATAATGTGTGTGCTGTTTCAGAGGTACAGGAGTGGCATCAGGCAGGCAGAGATGTGTTGTGTGTGGCCTGAGATGATCAGCATATTCAGGCGTGCAGAATTTGGCGAGTGAAAATTTTGTTTTCTGTGATCTTAAACAATACAGAGGAATGTAGTTTTCCTGTAGTAGCAAGTAATCTCGGTTCCACTATTGGTTTATGACTTAGTGTACCACTTAGGACAGCAGTGTGGTATGTCATTAGCAGTTTACTTTGCTGTTGTTACCCCACAGGTTGTGCATCTATTGAATAATATTTAAAAGTCTTTTTATCTTAAACAAAACCAAACAGTACAGAAATCTGTCCCTTGAATGGCCCTTGTCATCTTAACATACGTATTTTGTATCTGCCTGGATATTATGTTAATTATGAGATAGCTCCCCTTAGCTTTTGAGAGTTATAAGTAGCTGAACATGTTCCAAAGTTCCTGAACTTGAATTTTTTTCTTAGAATGTTTTTATCCATCATAATTTTTGAAAACACACCCACAATGCATTATAATTGTTTTTAAACTTGATAGAAAATGCTTTAAAATTATTTTAAAATATCACAGACACCATTGCATTTATAGTTTGCTTCTTCCTTCATGGTAACTTTCTGATATTTCAAAACCTTTCTCTTACCAAGCCTTGATGTGGTGGCAGTAGAAAAATAATTTAGCTGAGAAGTGTGAGACTTAAAATTTGGGCTCTGTGGGAGGCAAATGGCGCGTAAGACATGAGATCATGGATCCTCTGGGGAAAAAAAAATGTTCTGACTGCAGAAGCAGAGTATGGGATCCCTGGCTATACCAGGATGGCTCCTGCTGCCTTTGCTGCCAGAGAGATTGTGGGATCTTATATTGACTGTAAAACTAAAATCAGAATCGCTGCAGGAAATACGGCTTAGGGTAGAAAATATTTCTGTAAAGCTATGAAGTCTTCACAGTCTTTTATTCCCGGAATGGAGAACTAGAGTATCTACCCACGTGCCTGCCCCTCACACACACGGGCACGCACACCCGCCTCTCTCCTTTTCCAGTCCCCAGGCATGTGTTTGGCTCGGAAGCCTGGACCATGCAGTCGGCGAACTGGTGTGTTTGGAGTCACAGCCCGAGGAGACTGCAGTTCCTTTTAGGCCTGTTTGATAAATTTAGTTAAAAACAGCCTAGTGTTGGTGGCTGCAACAGATTAAAGGAGATGTCTGCCTTTCATGAGCGTAGTTTCTCCAGTTTTCCCTGACGTTGAGTCCCTGGGGAGAGGGAGAAGGGTTGTTCTGTGAGCACCAACCAAATATTTCTGTGTAGGACTCTTAATACGTTTTCATAGAATGTTTCCTGAAATCCTACGGTCTGTGGTCTGTTGATGTGAAATTTAGTCCCAACCCCCATTCTGAAATAACAACAAAGTCCCAAGAAGTCAAAGAGAACAATAGAGGGGTTTTTTTAATCTGTCAGAATGGTCCAACCCTGATAGCCAGGGAGTAGGTCCCAGCCCAGGCTTTGGCAGCCCGGGGCGGGAGGCCCTGTGCTGGGGGAGCAGCATTTGCTCCCGGCAGCTCCTTCTCCGTGATCCGTAAGGAGAAGCGTGTGGTCTGCACAGAAGCCGCCTGCGGCCACCAGCTGGACCACGCTGAGCTCGCATGCACATGCTTGTGCTCCGCTAGACTCGGCCTCTGCGCTTTCTCCTAGCCTCTCTATCATTGTTTGCATGTTTTCAGATCATTCTCATCCTTTTCTCATTACATTCTTTTTCAAGAATAACTAAAGCTCTTCCTTCTATTCTTCATCTTCTCCCCTTTTCTGGTTAGATGACTGTAGGAAAGGTCTCACGTGCGGTTGGAGCTGTGGCTGAAGTCCTTGTCAATCTGTACGTGAATGATCACAGACCCAAGCCACAGCCTCCCCCCCTTGAACTGGTAAGACAACCCACAAAACCCCAATAACTCAAGAGTGGTGTTTCCAGAGTGTCATCCTGACTTAAGACCCTGGTTGTGGAGCACTTAGAGCGTTATGACAAGTCTTAGTCTAACACTTACTAAGGACTCGAGTGCATATTGGTGAAATATGCTGATGTGTGGATGTGCTGGAAATGTTTCTCACCATGCCTGCTATTTATATTTTTATTACTTGTCTGTATGAATTAAAACTTCAGGAGGCTTTTATTAAATGTAATTACTGGTACAATTAGTAACAGAAGACAATTATTAATCAGGGTGGCTTCTAAAGAAAGTTTTCTACAGTACATGTCTATGCAGTTATTTTTAACCCACAAATGCTGAATCACCGTGCCTCATTTTGAAGAGAGCTGTTTTTAAACTCTGACGCTGTTCTGTGTTGAGTTCAGAAGCAGTCTCTAGACAGAGCTACAGCTTCTTGCCCTGTTCCTCATTCTCCATCTCCCGCCTCCACTGCTCAGAGCTGTCAGATGTTGGGAAGCAAAGTAAGGTGTTGTGTTGCGGTGATGACACTCGTTAGTCAGCGCTAAATTCAGTTGCTTCCACTTCATTGTAACTATCTGTTCTGTTAACGTTGTATTTTTGAAAATGCTTTTGTATATATTTCCATTTGCATGGTTGGTTTTTTTGGAAAGTTTCATGCTCGGAAATGACCCATCACAGCAAAATGGATTACTAATGGAAGATTTGGAATAGGATTCTCAATTTTTAAGCACAAGACAACGTGACAGTGACAGTACTGACTTGCACTTAATATTAAATTGTTCCAAGGCCGCCTTTTGCTGGCAAATTAGAGTTGTGTGGACTGCGCTGCTGTCTGAATGTGCCTGGACTCTGCCAAGCCTGTGCCTCCTCTCTCAGGCATGGTACCTCCCCTGTGGCAGCGGGGATGGTGGAAGGGGAGCGAGATGGTGATGGCTGTGGCAGAGACAGGATGCTCACCTGCACCAACCTGTAACTAAGCATAATAAAATAAGGCAGAGTAACATCCTCATACCTGCCTCTAATAAGAAGAGGGAAGCCCAGTGGCATCTAATCCATTTATAATTTACTTTTCTGTACTTTTGCATGTATATCTGGACAGGATGAAATTTGTGGCAATTAAAGAATGTTAATTGCCAGCCCAAATTCAACAGAAACTTCAAAATAGTTTCAAGTTGTTAATATGGATCATATTTTAAAGTCCAGTGAGTTTAAAATACTGTGAATTTCTGTGGTAGGAATTAAATTAATTTCTAGAACAAAGCAAGCCCCAGCTTGGGCCGCAGTCTCATGAGGCACACGGCTGAGGGGGGCGGCACGTCTGCGTGATGTAGATGCTAGTTCAGACACCAGCATCAAGGACTGTCAGTTTTTCTTCCTGAACCTTAAAAGCATGAGCCCACATTTTCCTCCAGAGTGCGTATGAATTGGGTCTTCAGGGTGTCCGTTTTCTGAGCTCCGAACACGTGTCTGGTGCTGGAGGCTGGCGGGCTCTGCCCGTTGGCTCTGCTGGCAGACGCCGACGCCTGGGGACGGGAGTGCCCGAGCCTGCGCCAGCAGGGCCGTGAGCGGGCATCTGGGAGTGGTGCTGCCCTTCTGCCTGAGCAAACACAGTGTTGGGAGCTCCCAGAGGAAAACTGAATTCAAGTCCAGCTGAAAACTCACCCCTTAAAGTCCTTGTGATGTCTGATTTATGAATTGCTGCATAAGCCTACAGAATTACAGCAAATGAGTAATAAAAAAGCTGACTGATGCTTATTTTAATTGTATGTGGAGGGTGCTGTATAAAACTTCAAGCAGCTAAAGCAGCTGCCCGCTTAATAAGAATTTATATCTGGCTGTAGTGCAATGGCTTTACGTGCATTTCTATTTTTATCTTTTAACAGGGATCTCTGCGAAAAGAATTTCCTCAGTCTATCGGGGGGAGTGACATTTGTTATTTCTGCAAAAAACGGGTGTATGTTATGGAGCGGCTGAGTGCAGAAGGCCACTTCTTTCACAGGGAGTGCTTCAAGTGTGAAATATGTTCTACTACACTCCGTTTAGGGATTTATGCCTTCGATGTTGATGAAGGTAATGTAGGAGCTATTTAAGAATATTTTAAAAAGTCTGGGTATTGATGCTTTTAATGGAACTAGGGAAAAAGACCTGGCTGAGTAGCTCGGTCAGGAGGAGGTCTGCCAAGTATGTTGTTAGCATCCACGCTGATCTTTGAGTCCTTGTACTTGGAGTTCTGGCCTTTCATAAGAATCCAGTAACAACAAACCTGAGCTTTAAATGAAAAAAATCCTCAGCGGAAAATAAGTTCAGTGACCAAAATGCAGTTTGTCCAATCACAGGTCACAGCTGGGGGGGATAAGTGATTTTTCTTCAACAATACAGAATTATTCTGATCTGTGATAACTGGCCGTTAAATAACGTGATCTAGAAGGATAAGCTGTGCATGGATGGGGGGAGGACAGGTTATTTCTTTCAAGATGCTTCGCCTCGGAAGGTGAAAGCAGCTGCACTGGCCAAGCAGCAGTGTCATTTCTTCCACTCCGCTGTAGAACAGGATGTTTGGATCTTGGGCGCTCGGTCCCTGCTACAGCCCGGAGTTTGGAGACTGGAAGTTTTTGTTTAGAGGGAAATTATTAAACTGAATCGAAATTTCCCTGCCATTTCCAAATGATTTGAGTAGACTGGAGTATTAACCTGGATCCTGTGAAAGGATTAAAGACTCAAGGTCAAAGGTGGCTCTCTTGCAGCCTGGAGAATCTTCTGGAAGGACTTTTTTTGAACTGATTATCTGACCTTTTGCTGCTTGATGTCCGGTGTTGGTTTGTGTCTTGGTGTTTAGAGAATCGTGGTTTTCTGCTATTCACTAATCTTAAAGCTGTGTGGTAGAGAATTGACCTTGCCTTATTTAACAAATGTCTGTACTGTAAAAGAAACCCATTCAGACCTGTGAGCTAGTCAGTCAGTGGCAAGCTTCCCATTCTTTTTGCTACCTAACTATTAATTATCCTAATTTCATCTTTTTATAGACGCGACAGTGAGTTTTCAGTCCATATACATATAGATTAAAATATTTTTTTTTCTCTTGTAGGTAAATTTTACTGCAAACCTCATTTTACACACTGCAAAATCAGCACGAAACACAGGAAGAGAAGAGGAACATTACAGATCCAAGGGAAGGTACGTATTGGTTATATTCCTAATGCAGGAGATGTTGAGGCAGCTTTCCCTGGAGCGGGGTGCAATTCTTGTGTACGTATTTGTGTGAGATGTTTTCTACCTAATGTCCAGAAGTGGTAAAATCCGTAGTAAAATATAACACCCTGGTTCTGTGAGTTTGGTGTATTTGTAGTTTGGGTCTCAATGGAATTTAGCTTTCTCTATACAAAGTAAAGTTGAATTTAAGAGCAATCGAAAATGAAAATATATATATATCTATATCTATATATATATATATAGATATATATATAGATATAGATATAGATATATATGACTGGAAAACAATAACAGAAACTGGACTTTCCATATTTTAGAAGTACCTTTAACATTATTTTTTTTTTTTAATGCTTATATAAGGAGGCAACAGAAGCGTGGAAGAAAGAGGAACCCAAACGCACAGAGACCAGCACAGAAAGCACTTTGTCTACTGGTAGCAGTCCAGAGGACAGGTCCCCAGGTATCCTGGCTTCCTTCTTTAGGGGCACGCTAAGCTGGCCCCTTCGGGTGACAAGGGATCTGCTTGACATTCCCAGACGCCTGTCTAACTGGATGCATGGTTTTCTGCGCGCTACCAAGCTTCATTTCAGGGACAATGCATATAACTATACCTACTTGTACGAACTCTTGAGCCTTGGTGTGCCGTTCCTCTGTGCTCTTCTAGAGGTACTTACTCATATGTACCGGGAAGCAGAGCTATCACTTGAAAATGTGCTTGAATGGGTGAAAAAATTCTGTAGGGTTTAAATTCTTCTACATGTCTTGCTTAGTTGTGCCTTTCAGATTTTCAAAATGAACAGCCTCGCTATTTTCTTGAGGGTTTTTGTTTAGTTGATTTTTTTTTTACTTTTCATGCAATTTAATGTGTGACTTAAATGAATGGTGGATTCCTTCTGATATAAACGAGGTGCAATCAGAGGTTTCAGTATAAAATGTACTGTATGTTAGAGCATGAAGGGCAGTGTCCAGACACATTTCCAGAACACGGAGACGGATGAAGGATATTTTATAAATCCCCTCCTCCCCGGCCTTTTATCCTGTGATCTGACCATTGTGGGGGGGTTACATTTTAAAACCATTCTTCTCCCTGCCCCCTCTCCCAGGTTTTTTTTTTTCTTTTTTTCATTAGACTAAGAAAGAATGTATGTTCCTTCAGATATCTGGGGAATATTTATGACAAATGACTGGGTTTTGAAACCTGAATATGGCGCATACTTTTTTTTGCTTGCTTTCATCTTTGCTCTGGGTTATATGGTTTATAACTTGCATGAATATGTTTAAAAAAAAAAAAAAAAATTTGTGTTGCTCCTAGTCATGCTTTCTTTCACATTTCTTACATATGATAGATACCCTTTGCTGATTAGTGGGTATAATATTTACTATTAATTTATTTAAAGTTTTGAAATAAATTTGAAGAGCAGACCTTAGTTGAGTAAAGGCTTGATTCAAACCGTAAGTCAAGGGAACTAGTAGTGTGATCAGAGCTGACTTATCCCTCAATCACGCTTCCTCATTAGGTGGCTGATTTGAGGGAATATCAATTTATGGAGCACTCATCTGTGACTGACGTCACCGCTCTTGTGCTTCTGGGTAGGTGCTGCTCCTGTTGTCTTTTGGAATTTTTTAAAAACACAAGTTTAGAACAAACAGCAAAACCCCACAATCATTCCGAGGAGATTACTTCTCAGTTTGATATTTCATTCGTTTCAATGTCTAAAGCTGATGGCAGAAAGGTGAAATTCTATTACCTGGAGCAGCTGTTAATGTCTTTCAGATGTCTCTCAACAAGGTGTACCTTAATCAGGTGTCAGGACAGGTTAATTAAACTATTTAATGGCGAGGAGACACCAGCATCCCAAATTCGGATTACTTTCAGCCTAGTTAGCCAGTGAGGTAAGCATGCTCCCTGCCTCTCAATTACTTAAATGTTTTAATTAAGTTAATCACAAAGTAGGCAAATACATAAACATTGGTAATGTGTAGCCTAAAATTAAAGCATCTGTAACATTTATTTTTAGCAAAAAGAATGTGGCTTAAATAATAGGAAATAATGTCGCATTCAGGTAGTACCAAAGTTGAGGATTGCCTTCCAGTGATCTTAAATGACTGCACTGCTTATGGGCTGGCAGTTTTTTGATATTTTTTTTTTAATATAATGTGGGAAAAGATTATTTGAATTGTTTTGTTTCTTAGGTATTAAAAGGAAATCTGTTTTCTGTTTAAAATAAATGACAAACTGGCTTTTTCTTATAGTTTGACTTTCTCTAAACTACAAGGCTAAAGCTTTTCACATTTTAGAGTAATTATGTATTTGGGGGAAAAATGTTAAATACATGCACAGAACTTAAAGTACTTGAAGAAAATTGTTTAGGTATAAGGTGACATTCATTTGAAATAAATTACCATTAATGCTCAAACATGTATTCAACAAAACTTTGCCAGAATATTGACTGGACACAGCGACAATTGTAGTAACATGGTGGGCATCTGTATATATGTAAAGAAATGTATCTGTACCTTTTTTAATAACACTTAAAAAAAAACCTGCTTTGGAACACCGTATATTTTTTAGTTATTTCCTAATGATAGTAAATGTTTCCCCTTTAAAAAGGAAAAATCAGCAGTGCAATTTGCCATGTTACTCTTGCAACACAGCAAGCTGCTAAGTGGTAAAGTTTTAAAATTTGGCTTGCCATCAATTCTGATTTCAGTTTGTGAACAGCACAGTCTACTTTAGGGAAACTTTTTTTCTGAAATTTTCTCCTGCTGTTTACTACAGCAAATTTTCTGGGTGAGCATAATGGTAAACTTACAGAAAACAATGATATAGTAATAAACTTGGAAATCTCTGTCCAAGGAATTAAAAGAAAATGAATCTTACTAGTAAAAAGTTTTAAATTTTTTCTTCTATTTTATTTTTAAAGATGGTATTGGCTTTATATAGATTCATATAATGGGCAATAAAACCCCTGAATTCCCACAACAGGATTCAGAAATTTGCATAATGAAAACATTTTCCTGAGGAATCTTAATTACACTGCATATTCCACTGGGATTTTGCAGGTGATTCTGTTGGGAAGTTTTTTATTGGTATCAATCTAATCGGTAGATTTATTATTTTTTAATCTCTTAATATTCTGCTAGTAAGATTCATACCTATTTGTCCTCGTTCATGATTTAGTGAAGAAAGGCTGTTTCATTTTGGCCAATTCTTCTTTGTACCTACATAATCTTTCTGCTGCTTTCCAATGTAACCAAGTGAAGTTCTGTGTTTTTTTTCCTGCTGTCTTCTCCGTCAATCTCCCTTGTTGCTTTTAGCCCAATTCATCATTCCAGTGCTGCACCCGCTCACTGGCTGAAGCCTCTCTGCTCTCAGGTGAATTTTTCCGCTTGCCAGTTCCAAAACTGTGTGACTAACACTGTTTGAAAGCATTTCATTGCACTTTTTTTAAGACTTTTGGAGCAAACTGTGTGTGTCTGGTATATTAATGGATGCAAGCTTTGGCATGGTCACTTAACCTGTTGCTGAGTTCACAGTTCCAGAAAAGGTAACGTCTGTGCTCTCTGTAGAGATGTTTTTCTCTCTGTGTCTGTGCATGTACGCTTCCTTGTGCCTTTAAGGTAAGTTAGGCGAGTAAATTCTGTCTTGAAAGAACTAGTTGAAACCTTATTTCTTTCGAAGTACTAAAGGAAAGATTTAAAATAAGGTCAGGACGAGGTTAGCCAGCCGATTCTCCTGGCTAGTGTGAGCACCTATTTCCGCTGAGCTCACATGTGCAGCGAGCAAGCAGCATTTGAGCACTGCGGTGCTTTCGAAGCACTTCTCTGCTTTCATGCCCGAAGAGTACAATAGGAAAGGATTCTGTTGAAAATGTGGCCGAAGCGATGCAAGTTCCAGCCTTCTGCCCCAAGTGAACGTGGTAGGCAGGTCTAACAGCAATACATGTGCGTGCTATTTTTAGTCTGTGGTATCGGAATGACAAGTTCTTATAACCAGAGTGGTTTGGTTTGAATTGGTTTGGTAACTAATTAACTAGGCCCCATTTGCCACTCTGATGAATGGGTTTGTCTTGCTGCATGAGACATTGCCACTGCTCTCCATGACAAATTTGTGTGATTATTTTCTGTGTAGTTTTTACGTCAGTCCCGGTAGGTGTAACCACATGTTGATAATCTAGAAGGGGAAATTAATCCAAAAAAAGAACCGAGGGCTCAGTCTGACGAGCAAGCGCCCTGAGGTTTTGGTTGACGTGGTCACGGCCCAGCCTTCCCTGCCAAGGATCCCTTCCACAGGGAAGGGCCTTTGGGAACTGAGCTAAGCAGCAATTTTCAGGAGAGGCCAAACATCCTCTGCCATTTGCCTCATTTCACAGGCCTCGGCCAGGAATGTGGAAGGACTGCAGGATCGGAGCCCCACACTCCTTACCTTGCTGGCCTGTATGTTTGCGTGACTAAAGCAATAGTATTTATTTGTGTGGGCATCCTGAAATATCTTGATGGCTTTGCAAGTGCCCACGCTGTGCCCACACAGAAACCTCTCTGTATTTGAAGCGTCGCTTCCTGCACGCACGGTTAGGACATGACTTCCTCTGTATTTCGGGGCTACGGTGTGTTGTTACAAAGCTCAGCATGCTTTGAGATGAAGGTTGTGACATAAAGGTCTGCCATTTCAAACCACTTCCCACTGCGGTGGTTTTTACCCTCTGTTGCAGAGTCTTCCTAGCTCTTCCTGACCAGTGAGGATTCTGTCCTCTTTCTCCTAAATCTGTCTTCATTTTACTTTATATTAATAACTGAATATTTTTATTAACTAGTTCTTAACGCTGTATTTAAATTTTCACACGGAAATTTTCACATGGAAATGTATTTTGCACACAGTGAAAATTGTTTTAGCATTATTTATGATATCTGCTGTAAACAAAAATAAATGTAGTTCTTTATAACTCTCCTTGTTTCATCTCTTCCTTTTAAAAGAGACTTAATAGTGACTTTGCACTCGTTTTTGCAAATTCCTTTTCTGGTGGATGCTGTTGTATTATCTTTGTTGTGGCCTGACCCAAGGCCGGAGAACTTCGCTGTGGTGGTATAATCACACGTGTCCCTTTCGAAAGGGATATACACTGGGGTCCTTGACAAGTTCTCCCCTCCGCTGCTGATCAGGAGGTGCCTGGTGTTGGGATTTATCCTTCCTGGGAATGATAAGTTGGTGTTGGTGAGCGTGGGGGTTGCTTCTATTGCATACACAAATGGCACTTGTCCTCTTCTCTTTGACTTCTGTTACCTTTCCTTGGTTTTATTTTACATATTAACAAATGTCATAAAGGTCACGCTAAGTTAATGTGTTTGGGATTTTAAATCATGTACAGGAAAAGCAGGTAATAACTGTGGGTAAAGCTTTACCTTTACGACTGGCTCTGGAGTGCTGTTTGCAAGCTCCCTGTATCTTCTGGACCCCTGGAA